CCGCGCTGTCCGCATCGCCCGCACCGCCCGCCTCCGGGAAGAACCCGCCTCCCGCCGCCGCCGCGCCGCCGTCTGCCCCGCCGTCCTCTTCCCAAAGCGCCGCATGCGCAGAGGCACCGCCCTCCTCCCTGTGTGTACGACGCGGTGCGCGACCGCATCGTCCTGCTCGTCACTGTCAACGACGGCTCGGCGCACGAGTCGGCCATCTGCGCGAGTCGGAGGGAGGAGATCACCCGAGATCACGCGAGATCACGCGAGATTAGGCGCACGAGTCGGCCATCTGGCGAGGGCACGCTCGGCGGCGGCGTGTGTTTGTCCTCTTCAGCTCGGACGGCGGGCTCGAGTGGTCTTCCCCCTCGGAGATCACGTCTGCCGTCAGCGAGGACGACTGGACGTGGTGCGGTACAGTGCACCCCACTCCGCCCTCCCGCTGTGTGGTGTGGGACTTCTCCCGGCCTGGTGCGTCGGCACCGCCCCTCGAGGCTGTGCTTCCCCTCCCTCCCTCCCCAGGTACGCGACGGGCCCCGGCCGAGCCGTGCAGACGGAGGGAGGACGCCTCGTCTTCCCGTGCAACCACGCGCGTGCCTCCACAACCCTGGAGGCGGACTCCTTGGGAGCAGAAGATGCAAGATCAGGCATTGGACGCTGAGCCATAGGTGCGCACCTTCGGAGGCCTCCTCGGCAGCCGCTTCGAGCTGCGCAGCCACACGGTCCTGAGCGACGACGGCGAGCACTTCCGCAAGGGCGGCGCCTCGCCCGCCGCCGAGACTAACGAGTCCACCGTCGCCTCCGTCGGCGAGAGAGCGCCGAGAGAGAGCCGAGAGAGAGACGAGAGGGAGCCGAGGCAAACTGTGAGTCCACTGTCACCTCCGGCGCACGAAGATGATGCTGATGATGATGATGAGGAGGAGGAGGAGCCTTCTCAGACCTTTGCCGGAGCCTTGCCGGAGCCTTCCCTGCAGGCGGGCGGCTGATCCTCAACATGAGGCAGGTGTCGGGGCACGGCCTGCGCCGCCTCGCCGCCTCCGCCGACGGGGGAGAGAGCTGGCAGGACGAGGGCCACGCGGAGAGCTCATCCCCCCCTTCCCGCCGTGCGACAGCTCCGGCTCCATTCCCTTTCACGCGTGTCTCTCATTCTCGCTCTCAGGAGCAGCTCTCCGACCCGCTGCCGGCGGGCTGCCACGCCTGCCTCCTCGCCGTCCCGGGCGGAGTCCTGTACAGCGGCCCCGCGGGCAAGGCGTCCGCCCTCGGCCTGGGCGGGTCGGTGGCTCGCTTCTGGAGGGAGGAGCTCTACAACCTCCTGCGGAAGAAGCTCAGCGGCCGGGGGCACGCCAAGGGGCGCGCGTCTCCCCTCCCCCTCCCCCTCCCCCTTCCCCGCAGAGCCCCCCCCCCACTCTTGCGCCGCCCCTCGGCACGAAGCTGCTCTCCTGTTCTCCTCTCCCCCCCCACCCCTCCCCCCACCCCTCCCCCCACCCCTCACCCCACCCCTCCCCCACCCCTCCCCCACCCCTCCCTGTGGGCGCAGGAGCTCCGCCTTCTGGGAGGGGAGGCACACGCTGCAGCTCCGCTTCTCGCCCGACGGGCTCGACTGGGCCGCCCCGCCCCTCACCATCCACGCGGGCCCCGCCGCGTACAGCTGCGCGGAGGCGCTCGGCGGCGCGGCGAGCGGCGTCGGCGTCCTCTTCAAGGCGAGCGAGGAGCGCTGACGCACGTCTCCTTTAAATACCTTGATTATTCCTAGGCGTCCTCTTCGAGGCGGGCGAGTCGCGGCCCGACGAGACGATCCGCTTCTGCCGCGTCCCGCCCAGCTGGCCGTGCGCCGAGAACTGATTGAAGAGAGAGCCGGCGGCGGCGAGCGAGCGCACGGGCGGCGCGGGCGATCTCGGGCGGCCGCCGTCCAGTTCGAGTGTGCGCGTGGGCCCGCAGATGAGATGAAGCGAACGGGAGTGGACCCTGCACTGGTCTCTTGGACTCTTCCACAGTCTCCTCGTGCGTAAAAAGAAACGAAGATCCGCCGCGCTGTATGTCCATTCCTTTCTTTGTCGTGGAATCATTGAGTGAGTTTATCCTTGTCGTTTTTTTGTTTGTGTTTTTTTGTGAGAACGTCGAGTATCAAAACAAACAAAAAAAAATGCGCCGCCTCGCGCGCAAAGTCGCGCGCGGCAGCGTTGACCGCACGGCCTACTCGCCCAAGTACTCGCTCTCTTTTATGTCCCACCATGCAGAGCGCATCTCTCTCTCTGTTGTGCGAGGCGTGAACCGCGCCATTCGCTCTCACCTGGCAACCCTGTCTGCACGTCTCGCGCGCGCGTGAACAGGGCTCCAGGCCCCAAATTACGTGTGAGTGTTAGAGTTGTTTGGTATTGCTAAAAATCTCTCTCTCTCTCTCGAGTATCGAGTTCGAGATAGAGAGGGAAAGTGATTTGTTTTTGTCGCACCACTCCCAGGTTAGGTTAGGTTGGGTAGGAAGGTGAAGAACAGCCAGGCTCGGACTGGACACCAGCGCGGTAAAATAACTACGTGTCCAGCTCGCGGCGCGCGTTTTTCTCATACCACCCAAGACAGCTTGGAGAGCTCCCGCGGTAAGGCTACATTTCGTAACGATCGTCGCTATTGGCCATCTGCCATTCTGCCTCCTGCAGCCTCTGTTGGGGCGGAATGCGCGGGGGTTTCGGCGCGATGCCTCCGGCTAGTACACGGTACTGCTCTGCCGCAAACTCTCCTGCGCTCGCGTGACGTGTGGGGCGCGTGCACTGCGCTCGAAAGTCGCGATTTGGCAATAGGCGCTCGAGCCGGCGCGCAGTGGAGGGGGCGCCGCGCAGGGGGGTCGGGGGGGTGCGAGAGGGGGCGTGGGTCGGGCGCTCACCGGCCGGCTCCGGGAGCGGCCGTCCCGTCGAAGAGGGGGGCTGGTGCTGCTCGAATGACGACGCATGCCGCTCTGCTGCGCCGCCGATAGAGCCCCTCTTCCGAGCCGGCGCGTGGCGGCGAGCCGCGGCCAGTGTCGCTGGTTCCTTTGGCGGCGCAGCGTGCATCGGCCGGCAGTGAGAGCGGCCATCACGTCGATGAGGGGGGGGGTGTCGGCGACTCGTGTGGCTCGAGGCCTACGCTGCGCCGCCCAAGCCCTACTGCCGATCCAGCGCCTGGCGTTTGGGTCGAGCCGCGGTCGTCGTCGCTGATGGTATGGCGGCGGCGGCGGCGGCTCGTCCTTCCCTCCGGCCGCAATTCCGGTCCCGCCGCGCTCGCGGGAGGTGGCGCGCCCACCGCAACACGGCCGTGGCTGCGCATACACCTTACGCCCTTTCTCCTCAACGGCTATCCGTGCTTGCTGTGCCCCTGCGTGGTGTGTTTCAAGTTCTTACAACCCAAGGTGATAGAGGCAAAAAGATCGACGCGTTGCGCTCTTGCCGATCCGCACCTACCTAGGCTCTTGGGTGGCGCGCCCAACACTTCACCACGGGCCTGGTTAGCGGCACTTCCCGCTGGTTCTTTCGCGGCTGGTTCATGGGCGTTCATAATCTCTGGGACCTGCTCGCGCCGTGCGGCCGCCGCTGCTCCATCGACTCGCTCGCGCGGAAGCGCCTCGCCGTCGACGCCTCCATCTGGCTCATCCAGTTCATCAAGGCGATGCGCGACGTCGAGACGGGCGAGATGCTGCACAACGCGCCGCAGCTCGGCCTCTTCCGCCGCCTCTGCAAGCTCCTCTTCCTACACGTGCGACCGCTCCTCGTCTTTGACGGAGGCGCGCCGCTGGCACTCGCACTCTCAACCATCTCCGTTCTCTCAACCTCTCAACTCTCAACTCTCTCCGCTCTCTCCGCTCTCTCCGCTCTCTCCGCTCTCTCTGCCATCTCCGCTCTCGCTCCACGACATCTCCACAGTCTCCGCGTGCTCTCCTCTCCGCGAGCCCTCTACGCCCAACACCACACACGAGCACGCGCGCGGCTGCCCAACGAGCATGGACTCTGCCCGGACACGTCCGGGACGCGTCCGCCAGGCACCCCGGCCATCAAGAAGCGGACGGTGGCTCGGCGGCGCGAGTTTCGGCAGCGGCAGGAGTCGTCGCTCGAGCGGACGGCGAAACGGCTCATCCTCAACCAGATGAAGGGCCGCCACATCCTGCACGGCGTTGCCACAGCAGACGGAGCGAATGGCCGCACCGCCAGCGCTCCTGCGGCGGCGGGCGGCGCGGCGGCGGGTGGTGCGGCGGCGGGCGGCGCGGCGGCGGGTGGTGCGGCGGCGGGCGGCGCGGCGGCGGCGCAGGCGCAGACGGCGGCA